TGAAATAGACTATATAACAATAATATCTAAGGCTTTAGACTTACCAAAGTGAGAGAGATCATAAGATTTGATGGTAGTTCAATGAATGTTTGAAGCTTCATACGGAATTCCGAAAACTGTTTCGATGAATGTGATGAACTCCGATCTAGGTTAAACTAGTTGACTCAGCATTGTGATGGTGGAGCTAAGGATACTATAGTTCATAGCGCATTGTTCGAACCAGTAGAAGGCTATTGTAAAATGTAAGAGCTTATCGAGGAAGCCTTTGATCATAAGCACATCGTAGCCCGTGCATTTGTTGATAAGACGATGAATACCTCTGGTATTAAGGGGACTTGTCCAGATAGTATGAGAAGACTGTCACGGGAGGTGCAGTTTTGTGAGCTTAAGTAGATGAACCATGTGACCAATCTGAATTCTACGAAACTATCTGTAGTACGGCTTTGAAACTCCCATTGCACTTACAAAGAGAATGGGTGAAAGTGGCATATAAAATTCTTAAAACGGGAGGAGGGCTTTCATTTATGGACTTTTGTGAATTTGCAAAATAACAATCGGATATTGCTCATATTACATAAGGATTGCTTGTCTATGGAGATCATTCTAATGACAAACAAATAAAGTCGGCCGTTGTTACTGAAAAAAGCCTCAATTCAGAGTATATGGCGAGAATGTCGTTCGCCAATACGAGTCTGATGTCCCTCCACATGCAAGACAAGCATTCTTGGGTTACCATGTTTATTGTGTACTGAAAACCACTTTCAGAACAATGTGGGAGGTTTAGAGACAAGGATATTATTGGAGGGATAGAATTCGCACTAAAGAAGTTGTGTAGTGTCTGTCTGAGGGTGAATCACATGCCACGAAAATATCGAGCACCGAGGTCATGTGCATTCAAATGCTGCGGATGGATACACCATACCATTTCACAGTGGAAGCGAGAAGAACAGAGAGATTGTTATAGTAATGTTCATACTAATACCCAATTCTTTACGGACGAATACGCTAGGCGTGTACAAGGATAAGCAACATTTGCAATAGTGCCTGTATTGGTAGAAAAAATAGTGGAAGGGCGGTGCAGACTCGCGCTTTGCTTATTACAGAATATCTTATTGTAAAGAGGTCCAGCTAGAAGTTTCCCCTTAGATTTTTCTTCATCACTCAGAGTTCCAGAGGTATGAGAGGTCAAGGGATTACATATGTTAAGTAGGGCGGTACCAACGATATCTCAGATGGCATTGTAGTCCCACTTGCGTGGTGTGAGGTTCCCAACAGTTGACACCGGAGATATCGAGGTACTTACAGTGTGCAATGTACCAATGTCCAAAGATGAACTGAGAGCTAAATTAGATCAGGTATGTAAGATGGATTTTGAAGAGATCCAGAAACAGTTGAAAATCGTAAATCCTTGAATGACATGTCCAGATCAACACAGTTAGTGAATGAGCATTACCAAAAAGATTTACTCGTCGTCACCAACAGAGCAGACTAAATTGTTTGAGAAACCGGCTCATCCGTGGTCAGAGGTTGCCTGATGAATATGTTATTGTGATGGCACAGTATGTTCAATGATAATAGGTTTCCCGAATGAATTATACGGACAGGAAAAAAACAGTTCTCCGCTGACCATTTATTAACCAGTGTTGATACGTTAAAAGCTAAATCAGCATATTCTCAGCAGAGATGTTACATTTAGGGTGACTTTATTCTGACCATGATAAGACCATTAGTGATATAGACTGTTTTGAACTATTTAACGCTGAGAGAAGGCGATTCGCTGAAAATCGATACAGCTTTTTGTTCAATTTCCTGTCTATTAGAGAAGTTCACATCGAAATGGCCCACACCTTCAACATTAAATAATTTTTATGCGTTCAGCTGAAGTTTGTTGCTAGAAGGAGTCACCCAAAACATGTATTTAGCAACAACGCTTCGAACGTCAGATGAGCTGAAACCAGTCTTAGACAGTTTGTGTGTAGTTGGGACCAGAATAAGATATTAAATGCTTCTTTAGATTGTGAATGAACCTTCCGAGAGCTAGTCATAGTTGCCATGTATGGGGACGAATCATAGAATCACAACCGGAGGAGTCTTTGGAGACGTTTTAAATAGAGGCTAAAGTAACCACTCGTAAGGCTAGTTAATGACTGTGATAATCTGGATATACTTGAGACAAATAAATTATTGTTACTTCGTAGAAGTATGTGATTCGACAAAGCACAGACGACTAGAACGTGTATATATAACAGAAGATGGAAGGAAGCGCAACAAATAACCAACCTATTTTGGAATTGATGGTTAAGAGAGAACCTACCAGATCTTCAGGCGAGATCCAGATTCAATAGCTCTGTAAGTCTTCGACATGTGATGCTGATCGTATTACATTTACTGGACTCAAGTAGCTGACGGTGCTCTGTTATGCATCTGTATCAGATCATGAGCAGGTACGGTACGTTTCATTTTTATAACCGCTAGCCAGATTAGACTGACCACTTCACGATATATCGATAGCCTATCAAATGTATATTCAAACATCACTTATAACTTGACTGGGTTGGCAAATTTCGTTTAAAAAAAGATGTTGCTGGTTAAAGCGTTGTCACGTTCCGAATGCTTGTGACATCATTACGTTCGTTCATACATTGGCCCTATAATTTTGTTTATCAATGAAACTGATAGGTTACGTAAACATTTGTAGAATTATAGTCTGATTCGTTATTAGTGTTACTCCAATGATAGACGTAATTTCAAAATTGTAGATCTGTGATGATGTTCGACACTTACGTAAAGCAAATTTCGGCTGGTTTTGATTGGAAGACGGTAACTTCGGAATACCAATCTTGAACATAATTAATACGTGTATCACATACACTGATTGATTTTAGCACTATTACTTGGGAACTCATTCATTTTCCAATTTTACCTTTAGAATGACAGAGCTCTATAAACGTGATCATAGTAGGTCAACAAAAGGGGTACACGAACAAAAATGTCAACTGCGTCGCGACTCGTACAGAGGAGATTAACTCGGTGATATATAACGTAGTAAGAAGTAAGTTATTGTACTTTCTACTGGAAGCTATGGCGATGACATCGTCCCAAGATTTCAAAGAAAGATTCGGCTAGCACTTTATTTCTCAGCATCGAGGAACCTTCTTTAAATGTTGTTCTTCGATTATTTATGTTATTAACCACTTGATTTCTCGTACTGAGTTTACTTAAAGGTATATTAAAAAATCATACCATTTAAATTAACAGCCTCTCCACTTATTGAAATTCTATAGGGACTGCAGAGCTTTCTTCTGAAAAAAAACTCGCTCTTTTTAAACCATGGAGTTACAAACCCTATTATTTGGCATTATAATAAACATTACTATCTACAACACATGCATAACTAAGACTCTGTGTCCAATGGTTTAGAACAAAGAAAGGTCTAATGATAGTCAGAAAAATAATCATGTATTGGATCACATTAACGCTAGTAAGTCAAACAAACCTAAATTCACCTTTGAGGTGTTATACTTCGCCTAAAGAAATATCCACGAACAGCGCGATTTGAATACCGTTGTTCAGTTTTCGCGACGACTCTGGCACTTCAGCTGTCGGTCAAATGTTGAACGATTGAAGTTTTTTTATATAGTAACTATTCTGTAAATTGTACTTAACTTTATTCTGTAGATAATAAAGTGACAAACCGGCTGAAATTATCTCCCTAATAAAAATTCCATAAACTATCTATTCATAATAATTCAATCTTTGAAAGTTTAAGTCTGAAGCCGTTCACTAGCGTCACTTTCTGGCATTTAGTGAAGATTAAATCAAATGTAATGAACGCCAAACCTCACATTTACCAATATGACTTATCTAAACGAAGCTACAATGGAAAAACACTCAACCTCTCAAATGACGAACACAAAGTTCCAACAAGAAATAACGAGAGCAATATCCACTCACTGTTTAATTACTTACGTCCGTTAAAGTATCAGACTCCCACCCAGTTTGTTTCACAGTACGAATTACCTACGCCTGAGGACCCAGAATCCTCTCAGTATAAATTTAGTGACAATAGTTTAAAAGTAATATCCATACAGATAAGAAGACTACGGGGAATATGCAGTTATTTGTCAAAAAACATTGACTGCTCAGTTGTGTATGAGATATTTGGACGGTGTGTATCTAAGGGTAACGCTTTCACCAATATACCTGGTATATCTTTTGTACTGCAAGAAAATGATAACAAACAGACGGTCCAGACAATAAATTGCGCTTTGTATGATTTTGATGAGATATTACCGGATATCAGAGTTGGAAATATATACAGGTAAGTTGGAAATTATCTCAAAAACGTTACATGTGGAATTTTGTTCAATGCTTTTTAGGATTTTAGAGATTAATTTGACTGAATATTATAACCTAAGAACAGTACAGTCGGAAATCTTATAGACTCACTTAAGAATCTGTATTAATACTTAGAGAACTGATACAAAACTATGTAAAGATTATTTCTGTGGATACAAAAGCTTCACTCACACCGGTTACAGAAATACGACCAACTGAGATTTCGAACCCCAAAAATATAAAACAGTGTCATTTTATGCTAAGATCCTGTTATTATTAGTTTTAATTACATTAACGACCATAACTCCACCTAGCAACCGACAAATTAATATGAGATTTGACATATTTTCTGTTGTTCTCTCATATGTTATCAAAAATAACTTGGTAATAGATGTTAGGATCAACATTAGTTTCAGCTGAATAAAGACCTTGTTACAGTCCCTGACATAACACACTACCTACGTATTGTATAAATTTTGACGTGGAGTTAATAAACAGATGGTATTACAGTAAACTATTGATATTCATTTCAGATGCGCTGGGAGATATCACTGTCAAAAATACATATTTCAGTGTTTTAACATAGAAGAACTAAATGAGGACGAAGTGCATCTTATGGAATTCATTCAATATCAGTCAAACCTAGAGCTAACAGAATTAACGAAACCAAGAAACTTTACACAAAAAGTATCTAGAGTAATATGGAGACCAAACTCGATAGCTAATTCCTCTACAATTACATTCCCAACCGAATACCGACACTTTACTGCAGCAATAAATAAAAAAATATAAAGTAAGATTGTTACAAGTTAAGTTGTTTTTACGGCTCATGTGAGATTCACACGGAAAAACGAAACATGTACATGACGCCCATAACTGTATCAGAATAAGCAAGCACGAAAATGCCACTTGCAAAATATACATACTTGAAGTGAACAAAGTTGCTAGAAAGCCAGAAAGTTTTTTTTACAAGGTGACTAACCATTTTCTGAAAATTTTCACTGCATCTGATTAAACCAAAGAAGTAGGAATAAAAAAGTTTCGGTTGGAGAAAATCAGAAAGAATTATGTACACATAATAAGACTAAGCATATCTCAAATAAAATATGCACGGCTTCCTAAAGAGTAGGCTAGTGTGACGGTATTTCAGTTACTTGAAGATGCTGCAGGATCTAAACCTGAGCTGGAAGACACAGGACCAGATGTAGACACCTGGGCACCTGATGTACTACTCGGGGCACCTGTAACGTTTGAAACTGTAGGTCCAGAGGAACTTACAGTAGATACTGTGGTTACTACTGAAGAAGCAATAGTACTGGTTTTAAGAGCAGCCCGAATGGCATTTGTGGTATTCAGTGTATTAACATCAACCGAGCTAACACTAGAAGCAGGAGTGCTAGATGTAGCCGCAGAACCAACTGCACGAACAGATAACTGGCGAATTAATTGTGTAAGCCATCGTCTAGTAGCGACATCGTTCTCTAACAAACTACTAAATGTGCCGTCTACAAGCTGTTGCGGCAAACATGTTCGAAGAGCATCACGAGCTCTAAAACAAAAAGGGTGAGAAAACATTTATGGTTAGTCAACAGTATGAAATTCGATAAAATCATATTTAGAGATGTGAACAAACATACCAAATGACTACTTTTTGTTTGTCGCGAAGTAAATAGTCAAAATTAATACATTGAAAATTATAATTCTTTGTCTTCCGAGAAAACACTCAGGACATTCTTAAACCAATTACGATGTTCAGTTTATTTTCCGAATAATTTGAATAGCTAGAAAGCAAGTTACCACTTAAGAAAACATAAAAACAACCACGTTTAAATATCTGTCGACAAACTAATGATCCATAGAAGAGAAAACAAACTTCATTAGGATTTAACGAGAGCTAATGAGGTATGGCAACTTGGACCGATGCATATATGCGCCTGAACCTACGTTGTAGCTGACTGACTGAACGAGCGCATTACGAGGACGGTTACATAAGCTTGTATTAGTGAGATGTCACTGCTGGTATTTTTAGGATTTGGATAACAGTAAGGCGAAACTGATACAAAATATTAGATATTCAAAAGGAAAACACGACTGTTTACTTTAGTTATGGACGTAACGAATAATAATAACACTTGATACTGAAATAAGCCAAGTCACTATAGCCTAAGAGTGTGTACAGTTGTTTTGTTTTAATGATTACTACTGTAAGTTTTAAGTTGTAAAAAGCCGGGGGGAAGGCACAAAATAAATGAATTCATGTTATTCTGCTACGATATTTGTTTTTTCTTTGTGAAAGAAGTGTGTCACCACGAAACCACAAAGTAAAAGCATTGGGGAATGTTTTGAAAAGAATTGCTCTTGCACCGAGACGACTCATTAACTAATACTAGCTAAAATATTTTAGGACAGCAACTACATGTTCGAAGTTTATTCTTATTGTCATTATCCACTCAATTTATTTCCGTTTTTTTCCACCAGAAACACATATGTCAGGAGGGATTTCGTGAAGCCACTGAATCATGTTTAAAGCCTAATATATAAGATTTTTTCGACTGAGATTATGAATCGACCAATGTTAGACCATCACTGAAAGCACTGGACGGGCGTTCCGACTTATTTCGGGACTCCTGAGCAGTGTGCACCCACGATCTTGCATGCGGTATTCGAACCCAAAACTTTAAGCTCTAAACCACTGAGCCGGCTTCCAATGATGTCTAACCTCAACCAATCCACGAAATCGCGCGACCATCCTCCATTGTCTGAGGTAGATCCCTGTCTCACTAGAGAGACAATGATTGATTCATGATCTCAGTCGAATAAAACTCAACAATCTCCACAACCCTATACTGATAATGAGATTTTTGGGGAAAATAACACCCATTAACATAACACCTCATCACAAAGTAGTATGTAGACACCGTTAAAAATAAGAGATATTATAATATGGGGTAACGAGGATCTGAATTTTCCTAGTAACACTTTTCGAAATAGGAATTTTTGATAAACTTATGTTACAACTGGTAGAGGTAAGTAGTTAATGGTTGATGTGACATCCTTATTAGTTGTCATTTGATAGGCAATGCAGTCATACTATAATGGTTCAATATTTTGTAAATAAAATCCATAACTTAGTTTTACATATTCAGTCAGTTAGTCAGTAGCTTTATTTTCCAAAATTCATTTCGTTGGGTCTGATCTGTTTTAACACCAACATTAATATCTTGGCAACGTAACCTATTGAAATTTATCGAGTTACAACACTCTTCTTTGTAATGAAGTAAGAATACAGGTCAATGAAGACAATTTCCATTGTTTTAGTATCTAAGATTGCGCCATAAAATTACATTGTATTATACATATTTAAATCACTAAGCAACTTCAACTGTTTGAAAACAAGCCAACTTAACAAATAATTACATATTAATTAATATTGACGCCTTTTGTTTATCTAAACAGCTTAGTGACGATTTGCATTGTAAATACAATCTTCGTTACCATACAGTAGGAACTTACCGTGAGTCGTCTGAAAGACGTAAGTAACATCGTATTACATGTTTTAAAAGACGTAACGACTGCTCCCTCGCCAAATGGATCACCATTTTGTCCAAAACAGTAGCTACATGTGCAAATCGTTCATAAGTCTGACAGATATACGCTAGGCCTACTTCATCCAACAACAGTTTCTGCATAATGAAAGTAGCTACCTAGATTACAATGAATATGATAATAATAGAAATAACTATACTATAAAAATTTAGTTAACCAACTTATTCTTGCGGATATAACTTAAAAACAATTGAGAAACTCTCATGAAAATGAAATCAGATAAAACAGATAAATCAAATTTACTAAACTGTAATTTATTAGTTCTTGATTGGATGAAAAATCCAAATAAAAGGTAAAAACATCGAGTTTCTAATCTTTAAAAGCAAAGCTAAATTTTAAAATTTTTAACCAAGAAATAAAGTTGAAGCTAAGCTAAGTGATCAACACAGAGGAGATTTAATCGTCTAATTACTTTCTTTTAACATAAGTACCTCATACATATAATCAAACGTAATGCTGTGATTCCTCCCATAAAGTAAGATAAGTAGTCTCAGACGATAAAATACATATATACAAAACAAATGAATGGTTACGAAAAAGTAAATAGAATGTGAATTTTAAATTATTATTCTTTATTGTAAAATCATAAATAAACATAGACCCAAAAGATATAACTCCAATGTGAGGACAAATGGTTTCATAATTTCATCGAATAAATATTTAGGCTGTCCAGAAAGGGTGGATTTAGGCGAATTCAGTTTCTTTGAAACTCAAGATATTCAGCCGCACAGATTTAAAATAGTAAGCCAATCTAAATCCTTGATTTGATAAACTATAATTCTATACCACATTCTCCTAACTAATATTAAAATGAATAATCGAATTGACTGAAAGGTCTACGACTTACAGTCTTGCTCAGTTCACTTCCTGACTCCATAATTACTAGACAAAGAGGTATAATTTCTGAACCAAGTAAGAAGGCTATAACTTCTGGTTCGTCAGTCTGAAATTAAAATAAAGCATCTGTATTAAATCACATAAGGTTTTTATTTTTGATAGTTATGTCCAATAAGACTTGCAATATGTAGAATGTTGCATAATTAGTTTTAAAAACATTTTCGTAGTGTCAGGCTAGGACAATTATCTTTTTAATTTGGTGTTGTACGAGCGGTTTTCAACGAATTACTGGACTTGAATGATTACACTTTGAAATACAAAGACTGATTACAAAATATTTTAGGTATGTATAGTGAGGTGGGGAATTCATTAAATGCATTGTTGTAACCTTATAAAACACTCACCGGTCCTAAAAAACACGAAGATATTATAAGTTTTCATACCACTACCAATGCTGTAAAACTGTTAAGTGAAGAACTCTGAATTTAAGAGAAAGATTCTAATTAGGCGAACTGAGATGTCAATTTTTGTTAATACTAACAAATATACCACGGTAGCTGAGATACAACAAAAACTAATTCGTAAAAGATACCTACTAAATACGTGCCATAAATTCGCGGTTTATTATTATTGATAATAAATACTGGAGAACGCAAGGTGACAACATGAAACACCAGATATAGTATAAACAGTTAGTCAATATAAGTAAAGTGTGAAGAGAAGCCACATCCACTGATTACATCCCACAAACAAAAAATATCCGAGTAATAGTCAATTAATTTACCATTTGGGTAAGCGAACAGTACCCGACCACTCACACAAATGTAATGATGAAGTGTAGCGCATATTTATGCCATGCCTTCTTGTACCAATATTCATGTACTTAAATTTAAGTAAAAGATGTCCAACATGGTGGATAGATTTTATCTAACAAGTATGAAGCCTTAAATAAGTGGGGTGGGCCCGCCTCCCTCTCGAAATGCTCTCACACGGCCACGTGTATAAAGCCTCTGCTAGGGAAGTCCTAACCACTGCCTTCTCGCGGTGGGGGTGTTGTTCACGAAAATAAGAGGACGAAAAGCGAATGTCCGGCGCTTTAAGCGGATCCCAAACCAAATCAATGGTGCACATGAGCTCCAGTATCCTACGGGAACAAATGGCGCATGAACCGATTCCTTGGTCATCGGCTACCATGTGACTGCATCTCCTCACAATTCTCCACTGCCTTGTGGGTCAGACCTTAAGGTCAAAGGCTCGAGGAGTGGCCCCCCAAAAAAATTACTGCTTCGGTCTGGGCACCCAGGCAGTATCACAGCCCACACACAAACAGAATGATATGACAATACTTACGGAAAATATTATATTTGCTTCGATTAACAGTAAAACGACTCACGTTATTATTATTTTATTATTATTTACTACGTCATTTACTCACTTTCTTTTATTCCCACTCTATCTATCCTTACTTCCCGACCTATGGTGGAAACTCGGTTCCATCTAAACGTTCTCGAATCACTGCCTGGTTGAAAATTGTATGCTACCACCAAGTACGAGTACTGAAGCAGTTCTTCCGAAACCACGTGCACCATTCAAACTGGCTGCCTTCAACGTTCGCACACTTATGCACGTTGGACAACAGATAGAGCTGGCTATGTCTTTGCAAAGTCTTAATATCGATGTCTGCTGTCTATCCGAGACCCGTATTCAAGACTCTGGTGAAGTACTACAAATTCGCTCTCCATCTGTCGCTTCGAAAAGCTTGTTTTACGTGCGTTTATCCGGGGACCCTGTGGCATCTTCGTCTGGTCTTGCTGGCGTTGGTGTCGCACTAAGCGCTAGAGCTGAGGCAGCACTAATCGATTGGATCCTTATTAACAGTCGGTTATGTGCTGTTAGGTTGGAAAGTCCCATCAAAGTGAGAAGAAATCGGCGTGGGAAACGATGTCTTTTCGTCGTCTCCGCTTATGCCCCGACAGATTGCAGTCCGGATGCAATCAAGGATGAGTTTTACCACCAGTTATCTGTTCTTCTCCAGAAAGTGCGTTCGATAGATATTGTAGTACTAGCCGGAGACTTGAATGCTCAGGTCGGGCGTCTAAGCACAGAAGAGAGTCGTTTATGTGGCCGACGGGGACTTGTTGGTGTTACGTGATGAAATTGAGCAAAGCTTGCGTAAGGACCGAGAAGCCTGGTGGTCGAAGCGTGCTAATGAGCTGGAAGCAGCGTCTGGTAATTACCGGAAGCTCTTTCGGTGGGCAGAATTTTTCGAAGGGCAGTTCAACTGGTCTGCTGCTCCGGCAACATCGGTCAGACTGTCCTGCCCTCCATGGCCGGTGACGAATGATCCACCAAATGAGGTGGAAGTCCGCAAGGAACTCCAACTCTTGAAGCGCTACAAATCACCTGGCCCAGATGACTTACCTCCGGCTCTTTTTTTAAGATGGTGGTGACTTTCTGACTAAGGAACTGATGACGTTGTTTACAAAGGTCTGGGAGCTCGAGAGTGTACCAATGTCATGGAATGAGTCGACAGTTGTCCCTATCTTTAAAAAAGAGTTCACGTCGTATATACAAACACCTCAGGCAGAGTGAGGGCATACAACCACCTCTATCCATTGTTCCATTCAAGCAGTGGGGTTAGGCAGGGTTGCCGAATCTCACCATTCCTCTTCAACTTTGCCATCGACGATATTCTGGAGACAGCTCTGATGGATGTAAGTAATGGCGGTGTGGATCTGTTGCCTGGAGAAAGACTTCTCGACCTTGAGTATGCGGATGATATTGTCTTACTGTGCGAGAATGTCCAAGGCATGAGATCCGCACTTAATCAGTTGGAAATCAGTGTCCGTAGGTATGGTATGTGCTTTGCACCTTCGAAGTGCAGAGTACTTCTAAAAGACTGGCAGGATTCTAATCCTGCACTCACCCTGGATGGTGAGCAGATAGAAGTAGTCGAGAAGTTCGTGTATCTGGGTAGCTACCTAAGTGCTGGTGGTAGTGTGAGTGATGAGATCGATGCACGTATGGTGAAAGACAGAGCGCCTTGTGCCAATCTGGACACCTTTGGCGCCTTCGTGGTGTTAGTCTGGCTGTAAAAGGTCGGATCTACAACGCGTCGGTGAGAGTGGTTTTGCTCTATGCTTGTGAAACCTGGCCTCTCCGAGTTGAGGACGTTAGACGACTCTCTGTGTTTGATCATCGCTGTCTCCGAAGGATTGCTAACATCCAGTGGCAACATCATATCAGTAATGCAGAGGTTCGGCATCGTGTGTTCGGGCGCAGAGACGTTATCAGATATGGCTCAGAATAGAAGCCAGTGGAGATCCTGCTGTAACCTTATTTGATTTTCTTCATAAAAATGTGGTTGTATCCTTCTTAACTGAAAGATTTCTTCTGGTTGGGTGGTGTGAGCTACTTATGTTGATATGAGTAGTATATAACGTGAGTTAAAAGAACGTGATATCTGGCAGCAGAAAATGGGGAATATCCAGAACACAATGGAATACGTGAGAAAACGCATGAACAATGGAATGGTGTTTGCAACAGAAACATTCCAGTTTGGTTTGATGCATGAATATTTTGCAAATTGACAATTTACTATATGGTATTCAGATTTTATTGAGATAGTCTGTAATTGTTGTGTTAAATACATTCAATTGTCCCCACCCGTGTTCTTGTTCACTACAGTTATACCTTTCTGTTTTCCCGATTACTACCATTCTTCTTCTTCTTCTTCTTCTTCTTCTTCTTCTTCTTATTATTATTATTATTATTATTATTATTATTATTATTATTATTATTATTATTATTATTATTACACCACCTTACACTAATCTATTCGTTATTGTTCTTTTTTTCTTTCTCTTCGAATTCTCATTGTTTTGTGTGGCGCATATATATTTGGTGCCCTCTTGTACCAATATTTACGTATTCAAATAAATAAACTAGTAATCGATAAGGTAAAGACTGACTTCAAATAGCATAATATATTTTAAAAAATAACTGTCAAAAATTGACTATAATGTAACATCAATCAACAAGACGTAAAACACTCATTCTGAGGATAAGTAGTAGATATATATGTAAACACTTACCTTAACAAGTGCACCAATTACCCCTAGGCTTGTTAACCTTAGATATTCGAATGGGCGTGTTCGATTATTTGTGTTCAAAAATGTGTACAAATAAAGAGGTATGTTAGCTTTCAAAAATTCATTTCTGGTTTCCGGGTGGGAAGCTAAACATTGCAGAAGAGCCAACGCGTTGCATACACGATTAGATTGGTGTGCCTTAGAGAACAAAAGCATCAAAAGATAAAATTTTTCTCAAATAATAAAACACTATCATTTATGCAAGTGACGTTAACGAAACAAATAATGGGGCTATGTAATTCAGAGGTACTTCAAAGTAAATTATAATATTACCGTAGGCTACGAAACGTAAGCAGTTTAATGAAAAAGTAGGTGTGGAAAACATCATCAAAGGAAATAGTTCCGAAACGATGTGGTTCAAATACATTTTGTTGCTAAAGAGAAAAAACAATTACTGAAGGCAGAATGATTTAGTGATTTGTAGTTTTCTACTAATAACACTTCAAATAGTTTGCGTTTGAGAGCACAACTGACTTGAGAAACAGTGCTGCATAATGAAAGCAGCTAGCCGACAATCGTAAAACGTGTTTTAAAAATTTCCAGTTAAGTGATTTATATGAGAAACGATAGCGCAAATCAATGTTATGATCTTAAAGACTGTTTATCCGAACTGTGCACGAACGAAAGGTTACTTGGACTAGGTATACAGGACGAATTTAATCACTATGGTAAAATAATTATTCACTAATGTTAAATTTATTCACGCATTTGAATAAGTGCTAAACCGAACTTGCATCAAATATAAACGGACTTCTTAAACCAATATCGTTGGAATAGGCTTGAACCAAGAACGAACAAACCCCGACACTACTGAACGACAGGTTCACAAGGAAGTTACCACTAAGTGATTACTTAAAAAGCAACGTTCATTCCCAAAACGCAACAGGCGTAAATTAGTTAACGTATTACTGGTCTTTCCTTAAGGTCGTGAAGTCCAAAAGTAAAGAACAGAATTGATATAACCCAAACCTGGCCAAAGAAACGAACCCACTTTCTGTGACTTTAGATTATTTATATATTATTTCGTACATTTCAGGTCCTCCACAGTAGTTTTACATTAATAAACACATTCCTTTGTTTAGCTTTGTAATTTATATTTTGACATGCTTTCAGCCAAAAAATCAACCTGAACTGATTTTGTGTTATTAATATTTATTTTTCGGACATGTGTATCCCAGTTTCGTTAAAGGCAAAATTAAGAAATTTTAAGAGTGCCTAATTCAAAGCCACCCCCCAAGGCAAACCACTGATATAAAAATATACAAAGTGACAATATTTGAGGCTCTAGTCTACTTTGGTATAATACTAGAAAGGCATAGAAGGAAGCGCAAACAGTACATATGAGCATCCTTAAACAATGACTGACAGAACCAATAATTTCATTTGAAACGGAAGTCTTATAAAATGAACCATAATCCCACCGTAAGATGAATATATTAGATTAATTTTATTACTAAGATATTCTTTATATCGGACTCTTCAATTAATACTGAATGGAGCTTGCAAACTAACGTCCTAAAGCTAATATTGCTTATGAAGTTGCAATGATAAACAGCAAATAAGTGCTGCAAACAAAAGGACAGCACAGGAAAATAGAACAACTAACATTAAGATTGTTGTTAGGAATATGAATAAAAATACGAAAAGTAGTTCAGTTACCAAGCAACTATATTACAATTACAATTAAATGCACAGCCGAAATCTTCAGAAATAGCTATCAAGCTTCACATCCTCATCAACAAAATTCGGCTTCGTGTTTGAATGGTTGATCCCACATCCATTCAAGTCATTTTTTACATATATAAAGACCTAAACTAAGAGCTTTTTCGAATATTCAGACTGATCCACTCTTTGTGTTCTCCCAAATTCTAATCTTCTGAATTCTTCATGTCCCTTTTTTCCTCTTCCCAAATTTATTTCACTGAATTATACTCTTTAAATAATATCTCCAAACCCCAATCTTCCCGATTACTGCTTATACTCTTATTACCTCTACCACTACGGGATTTGAATCGACAACTGAATCTCTGTGCTAATGTGGTGTGGCAACTCGAACTGATGTACGTACGTACGAAGTTCTACGTTGTTACTGACTGACTGACTGATCTAGCTAGTTTGCATTGTTAACTTATTTTTACCTATCACATTATCATTGAGATATTTTTTGAAGAGTGAACAGTCATTGTATTTATCGAGTACGTGAAAAGTAGGTGTCAATTTAGATAGTTACTTGGTTTATATATTTAAGTCCCGATACTTTACGACAACAAGCAAAAATATCAAAGACGAAGACTTAGTAAATGAAATGATAAGCTTAAAAATGAAGAAAATAGTGAATGGTATCAAGGAATCAAGAGAATAGATAAAGTGAACCCATCAACACCAATGTGAGTTGGAGTCAAGTAATAACAACCAATGTCGTAAAAAATGGTAAGGTATACAAAAAAGACAATCGTGAACACAGTGTTTGAGTTCATTACAAATAGAATCTTCAACTAAGTTCCTTTTTAAAGTTTCTTTAGATTTCCTCCAAAGTCATTTTCATACTGCACTCACCATATTTTCCTGAGAGCTATAGATGACAAATCCAGTAAAATCACTTAAGATTGGTGTAACTTTGCTTATTTAATCATCTTGGTAAAAAATAAGCTCACTAGAACCCCTCTCTAGTCGAAGTACCAGGATTATCCAATCGTTCATATGTTTTCTTAATACTTCGTGCTTAAATTTTATTAATGCATTCGTCGAAATACTTGTGAGAAAAATAATAATATCATCTTTTCCTTGCAAACCCTGAGATGCACATAAGTAATCTAACGAGTATAAAATTAAGTCAGAGAAATTCCCCCTAGAACTTAAAATTCATAAACCAAGAAAATATAACAGGATTTAAAAAAGCTCAACTTGGACGTTTATAACAACAATTGTCAGAACTGAAACCTATGGATATTGAAAAACAAGGTTGGTATCCTCAATTACGACACTAAAACATCAATTCTACAATCTAGAGTACCGAATAGGGATCATGAGAAAACATTAAGTGAACTTATAAAGGAAGATACAATTATGGTACTTTGATTAAACAAGGGTTATGGTGGTTATTTTAGACAACGGTAATTATATACGTTGAAAAGCATCTACACTAAGTTTTTACAAAATATGTCATCGACAGCTCTCAGTAAAGTACAGTGGATGCAATACGGAAAAGGCTTTCAAAGGAACTCAAAGAATTTTTGGGGAATTTTCCGAAAGTGTATCAGTTGCTGTTATTGATTGAGATTCATAAAAGGCAACAATCATATAAAATTAACCTGAGCAATTTTGAGTCAATGAATCAATATCTCTAGTGTCTGAATTTTGTCTGGGAGACCTTATGGCGAAAATGTTCACATTCAAATACGAATCAGACTGGTAGTCAAGCACTGATTGTTTTAACAGACGTTCAAGGTAGTAATTTTCAAGTTATATGGTTGTGAAGGAGTAGTGGAAAAATATAACCTTGATTTAAATGTTAACAAAAGTTTTTCATGATTTACATTCATCCTTAAAACTTATTACAACCAATAGATACTCTTGATCATAAAATCACCAATTGGAAATAGGTTATGAGAGGATTGACTAGTTCAGGTTGGGGGTTGGCGATAAAAACTCGAAATATCCTGAAATTCCTTATGTACCTCGGTGCTTGGACTTTACGATGATTTGTGAACAGTGAGTCCAGTTAATAAAAAAATCTTGGTTACAAGTATGCCAAAATAATTCAACTGGTGCTACAACGAAGCATTTTGTTACTTTTCGCTGACAAAAAATACATCAATCTCTAACCTTATTATTGACTTTTACATGCACAAGTATTTCAAATGTTGGTCGTGGTTAACTATTAAAAATAAATAACATGGTCACACGTCACTGTGATTATGAAGAATTGAGTAATAAAACGGATCGAATAAAAACATCAAGAGAAACAAAAAAGGAATTTGGGGGTTGTATGAACAAACAGTTCGTAAAGTACCAGCGAAATGATATTATCTTTACAAGTTATTTTGTTAACTTTGCTGACATAAGCAGGCATCTTAATTACCTAAAAATAACAGAAAAGGTCCGAACGCATCAGAAAAGTAAGTGAACATCTAGTGCACAGCATTAAACACTAGCTGCCTGATTGAGGCTTTGTAATATGAATGACTCATAGTGATACCATATATGGGATCACTTTGAGTAGTTTACATATTCCCAGCTCAGAAAATCTACATTAAGAAATCTGGTATACAGTGAGATCTAAATCTCAGAATTGGGATCTAAAAAACAGAGGTCAATGAGAATTTCTGTTCTGTTCAAACTACTGTTTAACAATTTGGTAGCTTTTTGTAAAAAGGTAATTTTACAGAAGAAATTACAAACGTGTTAAACTCTAATTGCTGAAAAGCCGCTTGAAGACAAAAAAAACCGAAGCTCGCCTGCTGAATAAAAAGGCAAAATCGAAGAGCATTTGGTCAAAGGTTATATAGAAACGCTGGTAAGACACAACATCACTAGCTTCATACATGCGTGAATTTCTTATACGGGAAATTATGTCCAAAAACTTACGCTTAAATTTGGTGGATTGATGTAAGGATAAATGGCACATATTTCTTGCAGCAACGCAGCAATAGAGCCACAGGAATGCCACAGAAGTGGAGCAAGTTCAGGAACCGACTCTCTTTTTTTACTTTATGAAGGAAACTGAGTATAGACAAAATACAGTATACCATAATTCAAGGAGTGCACTTTCCCGGGTTTCTACATTAGTTAATGAAGCAACCCACTTGTAAACACTTTCCATATCAGAGGCGGATGAATTACTTTGGGAGGAAGTTTGAACACTAGACATTTGTAGCGAAGTACTTAACCTTGGCGCTTTTAACAAAAGTACTTAATGTACAATAATTTTGTGGCCTGTAGCAACAACATATTGTCTTTTTCACAAACATTTTATTATTGGGGTAAACGTACTGTGCTAAGTTACCATTTACTAGGAGTATTTTAGTTCAATATATTTTAAAAAATATTCCTGGGATTATTCACTGTGAGTTTATTCCAAAACAGTGATGTTACTAGAAACAAAAGCTACCGTGTTATCTCTTGTTCGATTGATGGACTGTGGTAAGAGCATTGTTAAATCAGAATATAGTGCAGTAAAGAAAGTACAGAAGCTCAGACCAAATACATAGGATAACCAAAAATAGCGAAAAAATAGATGAAAATGTTGACTCCAGGTAAATATATGATAAAAGAAAAAGTAAGGCATAGCAGGTATGCAAATTAAGTGTGGATACTTTGCTGCACGGGGTCTAGGTAATCTATCTAAAAATAATTTTTCTAGTGTTAGTGTTGAACCACTGTATTCAAAATCCGTGATTTAGTAAGCCACTGTCTGATTTCCTTTTAAAACTATCGGCAGAGCTGGCTGTTATTACATCTGACACTAAATGGTCTTAGGTGTGCGGGTCCTATAGTAGAAAAAATTGAAATTTCACCTAGGTATTATCTGATCAAAATGTTGTTAAACTACAAATACTCGTGGCATCTCCAATCTTATCGATATGAGATTTTCTTTTATAATGACGTGAAGGATCAGCGTAAGTAAAATCATGTTAATGAATTGATTCTTCTTTAGCACAGTTTTCTTGAAGACTTCTCTGCTCATATCAATCGTTCCTTCGGATGAAGCAAAGTGTTGTCTTAAGTTTCGACTAGTCTTTAATATATTTTTCACACTCATGTGTGTACATGTGCATAAGCGTCCTTTGAGATGTACACTAGAATTAAAAAGGTTTTTATTTTCTCTATAGATAATGGTACTTCCCACATTACCTAAATCCTTAAAATTTCTATATCTCTATGAGCTCATTTCAGTTATAGATTTTGGTTTTATTCGATGATATGAAGCTGTTAGGCCTTTTGTTGATTGCGTTTATTTTGTTTAACTAAACACTTCGTGGTGATGGCAATTGTTTTGGCCGAGTGTTTCCCCTGATTGTTCACATTCGAATTGGCTGGTCAAATTATCACGAGTGAGAATCACTTGTTCATCAATGATGCTTCCCAGGTACGTGAAATTTTATACCAGTTCCAGAGCTTTTTCATCAAGTGTGACTGGGTTGGTGTTCTGTGTCGTGTTTGAGGATCTTGCTTTCCCCTTGTATATGATGAGGCCTACTGATGCAGAGGCTTCTGCTACATTTACTGTCTTCGCCTGCATACGTTGGGGTGTATGAGTTGAAAAAGCTAGGTCCTCTGCGAGGTCCAGATTGTCTAGTCACATACAATCTATCTGTTGTATTCCATGCTTACCCTGAGATGTGAAGTTATTTGTGATTCAGTAGGCCACCTGGAGGAAGAGAAAGGTCGATAGTAAGTAAAAATGTCTGACACCGGACCTTACTTGAAAGGGATTAATCGGCTGTCCTCCACTCACAACTTTGCAGTGTAGTCGTTCTTATGAATTCCGCATGATGTTGACGATCTTTTCAGGTACACCATAGTGTGAGGAAAGAATTCATACGGTTCTCCTATCCACTGTCTAATGCTTTCTCATATTCAAGAAAGTTGATGTATACTGACGAGTTCCATTCAACTGACTGTCCAACAATGATCTATAGTGTCGTGTTTTGGTCTGTGCACGACATATACTTACGGAATCTGACCTGTTGATCTCGAAGTTGAACGTCTACCGAATCTTTCATCAAGTTCAGCAACATTATTGAAAACCTTTTTTGATACTGAGAGTAGTGTGATGCCTCTGCAGTTCTCTCATTTGCCTAGATCTTTCCTTGGCATCTTGATGAGGTATCCTTCTTTTCAGTCTATCGGAACTTGTTGATTTTCTCAACTCGTTCTGAATAGAACGTAGAGTATGTTTGCAGGTATCTCTGTTTCTGACCTCACCGCCTCGTCTGGTATACTGTCAGACCCTGCTGCTTTCCCACTCTTGATTCGTCTGATGGCCATCCTGATTTCTTTGATAATTAATAGTGACATCTATAGGTAGGTCTGTGTGTATTTCTTCGAGTTCCTCAAAGTGCTCTCCCCACCTGTTCTTGAATCTCAGTGATTGTCTTGCCTTCTGTGTCCTTGACCGGTCTCTATGGTTTACTATATTTCCCCGCTAGTTTCTTCGTTGTGTCGCATATTTGTTTCATATTTCCTTCTGTTGAAGCTTTGTGCGCTGTTGTTGCTAGGTCTTCCACATATCTCTTCTCGTTAGCTCTAATGCTCTTCTTCACTTGTTCGTTTGCTTCGGTGTATTCAGCTTGTGCCTTGAGCTATCATGTATCCATCGAGCTTGTCAGTATCTCGAAAGAAGGCTGTATTAAACATTTGTACTGCTGTTTCTCCACTTGTCCAGTGCTTCTTTAGTTTCGGTCCCATCTTGGCAACCGCTGGGTGGTGACCTGAAGCTCCTCTCCTGTTTCTCCTGTCATCTATCGACCTGTCGAATTTTTCGCTGATGCACATATGAGCGATCTGATTCTCCGTAGTGTAACGCTTTGAGACCCATATAGCTTTGGGTATGTGTTTGTGGGGGAATATTGTGCTGCCTATAACCATTTTGTTTAATGCACGTAATTTTGCACATCTGTCACCATTCTCGTCATTTTCTTCCAGGCAGTTCATGTCGTCCGATCATATCTTCAGAACCTGTGTTGTCCATTCCGACTTTGGCGTTTACGTGACCCATCAGGATGGTCAAGTCCGTTTCTGAGCACTTCAGTATGATCGACTGCAGCCTCTCAGAGAACGGATCTTTATCGTCTTCATTGCTGCGTGCATACCACTAGACAACGTTCATTGGATTTCCTCGTTCTTTGTTTTGAATGATGATTGGATAACTGTGGGTACATGAGACTCCCATCTCATACGTGCCTCACGTGCTTCATGTGCTCCATGGAACAGCACCAGAGCAACTCTGAGTGTATGGAGCATTTCCCTCTTCGTGCCTGGAGTACAACGGCACCACCTCCGTATCTAGTAATTTGCTGTCCAGATTGGGTTAAATTGGTTTCACTAATTCCGAGTACTGCCAAGTTGTATCTCCTCATTTCCGTAACTATTTGATGGGTCTTTTCAGTCTCACACATTGTCCGTATATTCCGTTTCCCCAAATTAATTGTTGCCCTGTTTATTATAAGGGGCGTCGGCCTCGTCCCTCCCAAAGAATCTTATCTTTTATCATTTGGAGTCATAATTGTTCCGAATTAAGACCCATTACCTTGGAGGTTAGAGTTTAAATGATGTATTCTCGTTCACTCTGGTTAGGGTTTTTTAGCAAGGTAGTTTTTCATAGGTTGTGGTTGTCAAGCCTATGTTTGACCCTCCTTCTTTACTCGAGCTTGAAACCGGCAGTAACCTAAGAGGAGCCACAGGTCGGGCTTTGTTACTAACTGCTTATTATTAAACATGGACACGTTATGAACTGCCAACGGTATTGTATATAAAAAAGGAGTAACATTTGTTTTTCGCTAACTATTCGCTGCAACACACTATGAGTTTTTCAACATCAATAGATATGTTTTTTTTACGAGTCGACAGTTATATTTCGGGATTGATACTACTGATAAAACTCAAAGAACGTCAAGACGCATCCGCCTTACAACTTGGGTCTAATTCAGAACCCCTACCGATATATTTCAGATGTTATCGAATATGTGCTATATAATATTATTAGATGACTCGGACGCATTACGTCGTTCATGAACACTGAACAAACGAAAATCTGCTTCTTGTATTTAGTGTGGATCTGAGAGCCAGCTACACTATAATGTCACATAATCTCACACTGATCGTTTTCTGGTTTTGACGCTTGGGCACACTAATGGAAATGAAGGATCGGGCAGTTCTACTCACTAATTGACTTGCTTTTATAGTTCCCTTGAGCATTATATCGCTTAGACTCAGTTATACGATAGCCATTTATACAAGAATAAACAGATGTAACTATCAAAGCAGTTGAATTTAGATAACTGAACCTATAAACCCTAAAAACAAATTATATATCAGTGTTAGAGGAGAACTGAAAACATTTTGCTGATTTGAACTTTTATATTGAATATTAATAATTTCACTGTTTATGGGGTGTATTTGTCTTACTATACTTCTAGCATGCACAGCACTTCCGGAGTAACGCATTCAGGTGCTTCAATTGAACACACACTCATAGCGAAATTCACAGCATAATCTAGTTCTTTAGATAAAATTTACATCATAATATGACAAATCCATTGACTACATGAACAAACATGATCATTACTCCGGTCTGTGAAACACAAAGTTGACGTAACAATGTTGAGTATATTTCCACTCGCCAACTCGTCAACAGCGAATTTGAAATCAGTAAACGTAATTTACCATGGGATCGGGATAGAATGAAACGAATAATCGTGAGCAAGCTAAACGATATCATCATAAAACATGTTTAAAAGAGATCTGAATAAATGTTAAAATACAGGACATGTAGAAGCAACAAATTAAGGATAGTACTGTCTAAAAAATGCTTCGGAGGGATTTTCAGGGCTTTCCTTCCGTTACGCTACAAAAATACCCAAATATTTCACGCTATGTAGCAAATGCTTGATAACTGCTGCTAAATAGTATGTGGGTGATTTTCGGTTGCAATCATATGCATAGAATTCGGTTGACAAATTTCAAATTTAATAAGACTCTAAGGTGCAAAATTTATTGGGGATTTATGTTTATCAGTAAGCAAACCGGTCATGAAGAAACAATAAACGTTGGGTTTATGTTTGAAAGACTGTGATGGCTATTAGTAGAAATACACGCAAATCATCGTTGTCAAATTTTGGCATTTATAAACTCAACTATTCGGCCTCATTCAAATACAGAATGTCCCCTATCACATA